TTATGATGCTGTACAAGGATCAGATCGTAATATGAAAAGTGCTCTCCATGCATACAACCAAGCTTGATGGGCTCTCAATCAGCTCAATGCTCCTCAGGGCACTCGTGACCGATACAAGCTGATAGGGAAAAAAGATACAAGGGCACTAACTATGGTATACGATGGCAACGCCCAGGGTCAAAGAAATATTGCTTTGCCATGGTTCTGGAATATGGCCATGGCTGATGATTCGTTGGGTTCAACTTACATGGAACAAGGTCAGATCCAATCACTTTTATTCCTCTAGATGAATTGAAACCAGACAACCCAATAGTATATCGGGTGAATTGGCTTAGAGCAAAAGCTCGGTATGACCGATGTCGGAAGAGCATACCTTGATCCCAAACGAAATGAACTGGACCCGGCTCTTTTTCATCAACAAAGCCAAGTTTCCTTCGCAGAGGGACAAATCAGTATGTGGAAAGAGCTTGCCTTCCAGGCCACCAAAGAATTTATAAATGCCAGTGTCATGTGCCAGTCTATTGCATTACCTAATCTTGGTTGAATTAGATTATCATCCATCTTTATCCAACACTACCATGTCTTCTACACCAGTACTCTCAACACCAGTACCCCCTGTGCTGCAGGTTGAAATTGACTGGATGAAGGATATGATTCAAGGTCAAAAGTTTGAAGCACATTTTGGTAAATGTCTCCTGTGGGAGAACCCGCAGGAGTTCCAGGAAGTGCTTGACTACTGGTCATCTTGGTTTAGGGCCATTCACACGGCTAAGCTTGCAAAGCCTATCGAGCCTGAGTTCCAAATCTCATGGGATGAGTATTATGCGGCCGAAGTGGTGAGCCATGTGATTTCTCTGGATCCAGTTGCAACTAACCTTGTTCCTTTGGAAAGGGCTTCATGATTGATAGTATTGGAATGGCCTTCGTTCATGGGCATGAGGTAAGCCATCCCGAAGGCTATTTTTCTTGCTGACGTTGGCCCCAGTTTGAGGTCCCCGCGTTCCTTAGAAGCTGTATTCAGTGTGACCCACTTCACCCTGACGTGGCGATTCAAAGAGATTCCGTTTGGCCTTCATATGAGTTTCCATGGTGGACGACTCCTAAGAGCTATCCAAAGGAGGGAATCTACTACATGCTTAGCAAGTCAGCCAAGTGGTATAAGTGGGCTGAAGATGGCGCTTTGCCACTTGTGCGAACGAACCTTGAGACGTCAAACCTATCACCCGAGGACGTCAGCCGGCTTAAAGCACAATTGGAGAAAGCGCAGGAACTCATTGTGGAAAGGATTGACCATGCTGAGGCCGAGGTGGATCTTATGATGCGACAGATCAGGGATTGGGAAGATATTGTATTTTTGTCTTCCAAACTTGATGCCGAGAAGCTCCGGGTATGCCAGCGGCCAGAGTAATTCTATATACATTACATAGCCAGTATTGTATGAGTCAGCTTTTCTATAGTTTGCCATTGAGGTGGCATGACGCCAAGCCTCTCCCCAACCTTTTTATGCCAGAAGTGAGCCAAACAGGCGCGTTCACTGACAACGGGACAAACACCATGTGGTAAGACGTTGCCAGCCAGGCCCACAAGAGTTCTTGGGTCATAAAGGAGGCTGAATCCGAGCCCGGACATGTAAAACTGACCTTGGTCATACCGACCGATTGTCAACAACATGTCGAAAGACTCCCTGTAGCCCTTTACATCTCGGTGGGTAATTGTCTCTCTGTTTATGATGACTGAAAGGCCGGTGAAAGGTGTACCCCACACTCCCAGAGCCATGCTGGTAGCTTCATCTTGCTGACCGTCCTCGGCGAGCTGGTCAAAGACCGCAAATCCTGACTCACATAGGTCAGGTTGAATGATGGAGTATATGGCAGAGATAACAGCATTGATGAAGGAGAGTGTTTCAAGATAGATGAGGTTACTGGCCTGTTGGATATCGGAGGAAGGATGAAGTGGATCGGCAGGACCTTCATGTCCTTGGGAGAACCAGCCAGGTGATAAATTTACTATGCCAGTTGTTTTGCCACCATGGTTGGGGTGGATCTGATCCCGCCAACTCCCATTACTTTTCTTTTTGGGTCTTAGATTCTCCGTCTGGGTCCAAATCAGTTGCTGGACCGGTCTGAGTTAAAAACTTCTCGGTTGTTGGGGGAAATAAAATTACCTGAAGATCTTCTGAGATTAACTTTGGGAAGTACCACAGAAGAATGTGGCTGGCCTTGTCAGTTATGTGGCAAGGTTTATTGAGGTAAGGGATGTCGACCGGCGATGTTGATTGGTAGATCAGTGGGAATCTTGTAAGGAGTCTGTTTTCCAAATCCCCATTGCTTCCACTCTGCCTCAGTGATAACTCGGCCACATAATCTTGGACATCCCAGTCAGTTTCATCTGGGAAGGCTTTATTGGCCTGTCTGATACCGCCGGTTGAACATCGGACTTACAGGATTGATTCCAGGCTTCTTCAAGCATCCTAATGACCTTTTCAACTTGAACTTGAGGTCTGGATGGAAGAAGCCATGTTGGTCTAGCAGGCTGAGCATGAATCAATGGCATTCTGGAACTTAGCAGCCAGCCTTTGATGTAGTGAGCTAGATCTTGTGAATGTTGAGAGGGAGTCATGGTTTTAAAAAAAACAAGAAATTCCCATTTACTTTTTATCTCCCAAAACATGAGGCCAGGGCATTGTCCATTAAGTCGAAGTTTATTACATTGAAGTTAGGGTGACAGCGTATTGATGGCCTTGTACTCGGCTCCATCTTGGCGTTGGTAAAGCCCAATGCTTATGGCCAGCTGAATAAGCCAGCCCATCAAAAGCTCAGATAATTTTTTTTTGGACAAATTCAATGTTACAGGTGGTATGGAATGATATGTATTAAGAGACCTGTGTTACGCCGCATGCTCTTTCATAATAGGTGAAATGATGTTTGGACAGAAAAAAAAAGAGGACATACGGAAGGGTCACCTTCTCCCCATCGTCGTCAATGATAGTTAAGAGCATGGTACCCTAATCACCATGTTAGTGGAAAAAATGAAGTACCAAGGGGATTGCTCACGTCAGGCAACCGGCCGGTGGAGTCCACAGTTGCAAACATGAGGCCACTGATAGACATATTATACCACACACAGGTTCCTTTCTGATGAATCATCAGCTGGTTAAGACCAATGGAGAGATACAGAACTTACGGGGTAGGGATTGGGTGGAGGGATGCCCAATAGAGTCCAGATCGTCATGGGGGTGAAGTGATTCATGTCGCAGTGGAGGGGTGTGGGGGAAGATGGGTCCTTGAAATGTGAGAGGGTTTTTAAACAGGGAAACACGCATGTTTCAGGTTAAATTACAACCCTTGATCCAACCCTATATCAGAAGCATAAGAATATCTGGCAGATGCCTCGAGGAGTCCCCACAAAAAAGTTGAAAATGTCATAAGGATAAGCATGGCCGGGGATTGAACCCGGAAGGCAACTCTACCATTAGACCATGCCAGATTCCAAAGATTGTGGGCAAATTTCGATTGACATTGATGGTGACCTGCCCGGGCACAAGTTGAAGTCCCATGCCCAGGCCCAACTTGAAGCCCCATGCCTGGGCCTACTTTCTAATCTAAGAGTAATTTTGTGAGGTGTACCAGGCCAGGAGCATCCAGCTGGGGCCGGCTAAAATCTACTGACCAAATTTATCTTGCATCATAGTCTATGTATATGTGTCCTGTCCGGGCCAAGGTTGGGCCAGGTTGTCTTATGCCCCAGGTTCACCGCCCGAACAAGTCAGTGCCGAGCTTGCAGGCCCTGATTCAGTATGCCCCAGCTTCAAATGCCAAACACGTTTACTGCTATTAGAATGATTGTGACCAGCATTTTGTTGTAAGATTGACTTGGCTTAGTGGTTAAGGTGGCATGTGTACATAGTGTATCTGCTCGGGTTCAAATCCCAAACAAGTCAGTGCCTGCACATCTTCAAATACTTTTTACTTACATTATTATATGGTCGCCAGCTAAGAGATACTGACCAAGAGTTTGTTGTGACATTGACTTGGCTTATTGGTTAAGATGGCAGGTGTACGTAGTGTATCTCTGTATGCCCTGGGTTCAAATCCCGAAAAAGTCTTTCGTTCTTTTCCACGATTTTTTACTTACTGCTATTATTAGAAGTGACACGGTCGGCATCCAGTCCCTCGTACAAAGTACCGAGCTTGCAGACCCGAGTTAATTGTCTTAGGCCGAGAACAGGTAGTTGTCTTAGGCCGAGAACTAGTTGTCTTAGGCTGAGAACGGGTAAGTTACAAAGTGCCGAGCAGTTCAAATCATCGTCTTCCAAGATCTGGTCCCTAGAAGGGGTTGTTGTCTTTTGCTGAGAGTGGGTAGTAAGTTACAAAGTACCAAGCAGATTGTCTTGGTAGTCATCTTAGGCTGAGAACAGGTAAAGTTACAAAGTGCCAAGCTTGCAGGCCCAGGTTCAAATCATCGTCTTCCGACATTGACTTGAGATACTGACCAACATTTCATTGGCTTGGCTTGGTGATTAAGGTGGCAGGTGTATGTAGTATGCCTGGGTTCAAATCCCAAACATGTCATGGCTTGGACATCCTCAAATACTTTTTACTTATTGCTATTAGAGTGACATAGTCGGCAGGTAATAGATACTGACCAACATCGTCTTCCAACGTTGGCTTGGCTTAGTGGTTAAGCTGGAGGTGTACAGAGTGTATGTATGCCTGGGTTCGAATCCCAGAAGTCACTTGCAGCGATCGCAGCTCTTTCGTTTTTGTAACTCTGGCTAAAATTTACTAATCAATTCTTACCGAGCTTGCAGACATGGGTTAGTTGTCTTAGGCCGAGAATGGATAGTTGTCTTAGGCTGAGAACGGGTAAGTTACAAAGTGCCGAGCTTGCAGGCCCGGGTTTAAATCGTCTATTAGAGTCACATCGTCTCCAGCTAAGAGATAAGTTTGTTGCAACATTGACTTGGCTTAGTAGTTAAGATAGCAGGTGTACGTAGTGTATCTATGTATGCCCTGGGTTCAAATCCCGAACAAGTCATAGATTCGCGTTTTGAAAAGTTTTTTACTTACTGCAGCTAAAAGATACTGACTGACATCGTCTTCCAACCTTCGCTTGGCTTAGTGGTTAAGCTGGGAGGTGTACATAGTGTATGCCCTGGGTTCAAATCCCAAAAAAGTCATTGCAGGACAGCTCTCTGATTTTTTGAAGTGCAATTGTGTTGTGCCGAATCCCAAACAAGTCATTGCATGAAAGGTCTCTGCCTTTTGTATTGCAAGGTTGACTTGGCTTGGTGGTTAAGGTGGCAGGTGTATGTAGTATGCCCGGGTTCAAATCCCAAACAAGTCACTGCGGAGAATTTATTTCAGTCCTTTTTACTGCTATTAGAGTGACATGGTCGACAGCTAAAAGATACTGACCGACATCGTCTTCAATGTTGGCTTGGCTTAGTGGCTAAGCTGGCAGGTGTATGTAGTTGAAGTATGTATGCCTGGGTTCAATTTCCAAACAAGTCGTTCATTCTTCCCTACGATTTCTTGCGTTTTAATTTTTACTAATCAATGCAGGTTTGCAACATTCCTAGTACAAAGTACCAAGCTTGCAGAGCCGAGTTGGTCATCTTAGGCTGAGAACGGGTAATTGTCTTGATAGTTATCTTAGGCCGAGAACTAAGTCACAAAGTGCCAAGCTTGCAGGCTGACATTGACTTGAGATCCTGTCCAATTGGTCGTCACCTAAAAGATACTCCCCAACTTCCTCTTGCAGTGCTGACTTGGCTTAGTGGTTGAGCTGGGAGGTGTACATAGTGTATGTATGTATGCCCTGGGTTCAAATCCCACAAGTCGCATAGAGCGAGGACGGCCTCTTTGTAACGCTGGCTAAAATTTACTAATCAAAGGTTTGCAAAAGAATGGGTAGTTGTCTTATGCCGAGAATGGGTAGTGACTTACAAAGTGCCGAGCTTGGACGCCCGGGTTCAAATTGCAAAGTGTATGCCCCGGTTTCAAATCCTGAATAAGTCTGAGGAGAATTTTCTTCTATTACAGTGACATAGTTGACAGCTAAATGATACTGACCAACATCCTCTTGCAGCACTGACTTGGCTTAGTGGTCAAGCTGGAAGGTGTACATAGTGTATGTATGTATGCCCTGGGTTCGAATCCCAGAAGTCACTTGAGTACAGATGGAGCAAACTCTTTTTTTTTCGTAACCACTCAAGGTGACATTGGAAAACAATGTCAGGCTTTGCCACAAAGCCAAGTGAATGTTGAGACAACATTGATGTGTATCGGCCGCTGCACAATGTTTCGACTCAGGTAAAAAGGAACACCACCGGATAGACATGAATCCGGGGCAACTAAGCATATCGTAGCCTTGACCACTAAGCCAGTCATTATGGCAAGGGAATGACACATCCAACCTGGGACATTATCCAGCCGAAAGTCGGTTATGGCCACAGATGGGAAATAATGGCTAAGGGGAGTTGGGTTAAATAAAACAAGGAAAATGGTTGTGGGCCGGCCTCATCTGCGCTCGGGGCTGACAATGAGATTCATGACCTCAGCATGTCAACTGATTGGACCGGGCCAGGTTTTGGCAGGTGGGCTGATCCACCTTGTGAGGGATCAAAAGCTGTTCAGCTGACTCATAATCCATGTTGGAACAGACCGGCTGACCCACAATCCAAGGCAATTTCAGTGGGGTCAATTCATCATTAGGCTCCTCGGCCGGCACACAGAACCACTCCTTAAGAAAATATGGGTGGCTGGGCCAGCTTTGATGGGGTCAACATATCCATCGGCTCATCAGCAGGCACCATCAACTATGGCCTGTTTGTATAGTCAGGGGTCTCAGTGTTGTTGGGGTAAGGTCACTAATACTTGTGATCCACACAAGTTCCAGGCATACATCTCTCCCTTTGTTTATAAAATGGAGTTTTCAATTCTTTCAACCATTCATTTTTCTGAAGGATTGCTTGATATCAGTCATGATCATCAATTTCTTACCATGACTCACCTTGGATTCATCTATCCTTGCATTGGTCTCACATTGAAGTTTCTCATTGCTGTTGTAATTGACCCACATAATGAAAATGTAGATTAGCATGAACATTCACATGGTGATGTTGACTGAGGTCTTTACCTTCCCCAGGTTATTCCGTATGGAATCCATGGAATCCATGTTGGCTGAGGACCCAGCCATTTTCTTATTCCATAGACCTCATGGATTCCATATGGAATGACCATGGAATGGTCATGGAGTGATTAATTCCATATGGACTCCAACACCACTCCATATGGATTCCATTGGATTCCACATGGAATGCAGGCATATCCACCTTGGATTCCATGGAGCAGTCCACATGGATTCCATGGATGACCATTAGAATACAGTATTTATAGTGTCCTTACTATATTTAAGTAAAAATAGAAATTTTACATCTACGGGAATTGAACAGTCGACCTCATCAATATTAGCAGTGCTCAAACCAACTGAGCCACAAAGGCATTATTATAAGGTAAAGTAAAGGTATATATATACCGCCTTTGTCACATGGTGTCTCAAACATGACACGACGCATTGCCAATGCCACGTCGTTTCTTCCTTCAACCACCACCATCACCATCCACCCCACCATCTCAAGCCACGACCGCCCACGACATCGACGTCGACCACCACCACCACCACCACCACCACGCTGATGACGATGATCATGCTGACGATGCACAACGACACACAACGTCGTCAACAACCACCCCGCCGGTACAAGAGCCACACGACATGGCAACGCCCCATCACGCGGATGGGAGGCGACAACGATGATGATGCGGAACGTCAATGGACATTCTGCCTTGACTCCAGCCCAGGTAAGTGGACTGGGTAACCCCTCCCAGTCCACCTTTTGACAACAACAAACCAGGTGCCACGTCACGGTCAGCGACGTGGCAACCAAACAATGAACGGACACGACAACCGACGAGCCCGCCCACCCACAAACAATGCACACAGCCCCACACAACCCCCACTGCCCACAAACGCCCACGAAATGAAACGAGCCCCCAGACACGACACCGAACACCCACGACATGACAACCAATGAGCCCGCCCACCCATGGACGACGCACACCACCCTGCACAACCCCCACCTCCCACAAACGACCCCGAAGGACCCCGAATGCCCATGACATGACAACAGACAAGCCCGCCCACCTACCACCAACGTACACCCAGCCAAACGAGCCACAGCACCCAGGAGCGACCACAAGACGACCATATGCAAACGAAAACGAATGCCCAGCAGACGAAGATGACAACCGCCCACCGCCCACAAGACCCACCAATGCGAGCGCCCACGAACAACGACAACCGCCCACCAACAACGACAACCGCCCACCAATGAAAACAGACGCCCACGAAATGAAGACGACTGCCCACCAACGTGAATGGACATGGGCAAGGACGAGCCTAGGTGAGCTCCCCCTCCCTCCATCATTCCACCCTACTCCCTCCCCCTCCCTCCATTGCTCCCTCTCCCTCCATTGCTCCCCTCCCAATACTCCCTCTCCCTCCACTGTCCCCCCTCCCTTCATCAATCCCCACCACTCTCTCTCCCCCCCCTCACTCTCCACCACAGACTCCTCTCAATCACTTCTCCCTTCAACATTTAATGTAGTAAAATAAATATATGTAATCCTATTCAATACATTTTAAATTCTCCCTGTTCAGTTATTAGTATGGAATAAGTGTAAAACTAACTGTAGAACTGATGTGGACTTAGGTAAGCCTAGAATTATGATTCCATAAGGTCATTCCATCTGGAATCCAGATGGAAAAAGTATGGAATCCATCAACCATTCCATGGAATCCATGCACCAAAAGTATGGAATCCATCCCCCATTCCATGGAATCCATCCACCATTCCATGGAATCCATCTGGAATTTCTGCAGTCCACCCCCCATTCCATGGATTCCACATGGAATAACCCGGGGAGGGTAAAGTATTGATCCATCCCTTTGAAAAATCATCAAACAGGATGGGATAAAAGACAGAAACATTAACATACTTCGCATATTTGCCTCATTCACAACAAAGGCCTAGGATCAGGCATTAATAAACCAATCTCAGAAAACAATTTTACATACACTGAAGGAGCTCATGGCCTCATCCGGCCTTTCTTGATACTTCTTAATATCTGGTGTGTCTTGTATGAAGGTAGGAAATCTCCCTGAACTACATTCACTGTGCAGGTCACACTGGTTGAATATCAACCTAAGTTTTCAACATAGGTTAGGTCGAATTCAACCACTTTTTTGGTTGAATTTCATCAACCTTAGGTTGATGATCAACCTATTGTACTTAGGTTGATTAGCAACCTATTTTGGCAGAATTCAACCAAAGCATGTTTTGGGCCGCTACAGCTGAATTTAAATGGTCCTTAGGTTGATAATCAACATAACATATAGGTGTAATTCAACCTATTGGTAGTGTTTTTCTAACCTACTGTAGGTCAAGTTTCATTGCTTTATAGGTATAAAATTATAATATTCAATCCGCTCTCACAGCGCTGTATCAATGACATAGATAATGGAGTCACTTCCCCTTGTAATAGGTTTAATGAAAGGAATGTAAGGGATGGGAATCGAAGTTTGATGGGAATAGAGGGGGATAAGAGTCCGAAATCGGGACATACACATTCACACACACACACTGACAATGCCAGCTGTCAGTTCTCATCCTCGTCTTCGCCCTCATCCATCTGGTGGTCCTCGTCGCTCGCCTCGTCATCTGCTTGGGTCACCTTCGACTTTCCCTTTCGAGAATGAGCGGCCTTCTGCTTGGCCTTCTTCTTTGCCGAGAGGACGACATTGGCCTGTTTTTTCTGGATCCGGCAGGGTCGCGCTTGCTAGCATTGACCTTGAGGTAGGCGTAATTCTCTGGAATGTTGAGCCACCTGTTTGCATAGTGGTACTTGCGTTTATTCGCTAAGTACTGTTTCGCTATCTCCACTGTCGCCCAGTCATTGACGAACCATTTGAGATATGGATGCTGATCTCTCGCCTAGATTTGAACATCCATCATTTAGCAAGACTTCAATAATTCACGATGACATACAACTTGAAACAGTTTTGCCTTATCACTTGCAGGTATGTCTGCCCATTTTGAATCCCATTTGATACGTGCATTGAGAGTTAGGTCATGAATTTTACGCTATAGGGAAAGAGGTGGGTATGAGGGCAAAATTCTGTGGTTGATGCTCACCACAAGTGCCCTGTAGATACCATGTTTCTTCTCAGAACCAGCCAACCCCATCACTTCCTGGATGCTCCAGTCAGCTCCTGCTGTACCTTTCAGGCGGGGCACCAGGTCACTGGTGACTTCTTGTCCATTTGCGTCCAGTTGCTCAAGCTGTTCCTGGAGCCAAGCAACAGTTTCTTGCTCAGTGCTCAATGCTTCTTGCTCTGCCATCAACTCTTCTGTGTGGCTTCCGTGAGTCATCTAACTCTCAGTGATGATGATAACTCACTTTGTGGCTGGGTAGATATGTCCTCGGTATCTTCTTCCTCTTCCATATGGGCATCATTACCGTGGCAGGTCTTCTCTGTCAAAACTGTGACATTGTGCTGTAGTTTCTTGTTCTGCTCACATTCCCGGTCAAGTTCCGCTACACAGAGGTATGTGTCAGTGACATAATCCAGGATAAGGCTAACACGTACACTCTATTTGCTCCATTCTTTTCAGAACTGCTTGTAAATCTACTGCAGTATCGTTAGCTGTGGGCCGGAGTTGACCTCTTGCTGCAGCCTTGGCTGGTGTCTTCACTCCTATACCAGCTGGCTGGGCTGCGTACATGGCATCAATCTCCTTCTCTTGAGCAAGCTGACCTTGTGCCCCTTTTCCAGCAGCTTTTGGGGTCGGCTTTGGTTTCGTTGTGGTTGTAGTGTTCCTCCGAGTTAGGGGGGTTCCAGGTAGGTCAGACATTGTCTGTCTATGAGTGAGGTGTACTGAACGAGGGGATGGGGGAAGACTTGGTTACGTGGCAGTTCAATTTGTAGCTTGTGATCAGCTCAGCCGTTACCAACCCATATTTGGTAGCTCCGTATACCATTCAACACTTTGTAAATTACTACAATCTTGCCCATCCATGCCACGTAAAGGATATGTCTACTGCTCCTGCTGCAACACTTTTATACCGGAAAAATGGGAACACATGCATCATGCTTGAATCAATATGCCCAGGCAATCAGCCCCTGTCTTCACCTCAATGGTCGCGGTTCATCAAGTGGTCAACATCTCTTCTGATTCTGCTATGCTCATGGACATTGATGAGCTGTCGACATCCATGAACGTGAACGATGGGTGGTATACACTTTTATGATAAAAACCAGACATATGTCTGGAGGGCGATGTGTATAATGCCTAGAGGTTCAATGAGATCGCATATCTCATTGTTCTAGGATATTTCATTGTGATTTTCATATGGATACCTGGTGCTTTCAATATATATTTCATTCTCAACCCCAGGATATTTCATTGCAATTTTTATATGGATACCTGGCAGTTTCATTGGATATTTCATTGTTAGCCCCAGGATATTTCATTGTGCTTTTCATCTGAATGCCTGGTGCTTTCAATGGATATTTCATTCTTGTTCCTAGGATATTTCATTGCACTTTTCATAGATATACCTGGTGCTTTCAATGGATATTTCATTGCTAAACCCAGGATATTTCATTGCTAAACCCAGGATATCTCATTGTGCTTCTCATTTGGATGCCTGGCACTTTCAATGGATATTTCATTCTTATTCCTAGGAGATTTCATTGCACTTTTCATATGTGTACCTGGCGCTTTCAATGAATATTTCATTTTTAGCAGCAGCTGACCTTTCAGGGTCCAGGGTGCATTTCCAAATGTAAAATAGCAATAAAATCAGGAAAAATTAGGGCTCATTGCTGATCATCATGTTGGGTAACATTGTCAGGGTCCAGGGTCCAGTTCCAAATATGGTAATATATCCAAAAATAGCCAGAAAAATTGAATATATATATATAAATGGTGTACAGAACATCAGGCACTGCCTTCAGGGTCCACTTCAGGTTCCATCCCAAAAGGGAAATATCACCTCGTTTGACCAAAAAGAGAAGAAAACCAAGCAGAGAATGATTTCACCTATCAGGGTCCATGTAATGGGATGTTGGGATGATGGTCACATGACCAATTACCAAAAATGGTCAAAAAACAAAAGTTGTAGCCCTACACTGTAGCTTCCTGAATCTGTTCGAATTATGTTCTGAAGTGCTCCCATTGTGGAGATATGAGGTAAAGGAATCCCAAAAGTGTCGTGTTTGTTTTTTGTTTTTTGCATTTTTCTCCATGAAAACAAAACCAAACAACATGATTTCAGTATATTTAGAAAGCTAAAAGAAAGGGCTACAACTATTGTATCATGGGAAAAATGACCAAAAAAGGAAGGTGCATGCCCTAGAAAAGGAATGGTCAGAACTAGACTACCAAGTTTACTGATAGACTACAAAAAAGTCGGACTCAACTACAAAGTTTACTGATAGACTACATAAGACTACAAAAGTCAGACATAGACTACAAATTTTACTAATACACTACAAAAGACTACAAAAGTTGGACTTATACTACGAAGTTAGGGTTAGGGCTAAAAGGTTATCCAAAGTCAACCTAGCCCATCCATCTCATACATGGCACATATTTGATGGGGAAATGGCTGGGAAATATACAGATACATTGCAGGGACTCTATTCCATGTCTAGTTTGAGGAATCATATGCAAAAGAGAGCATGAGAGCCTTTAGAAAAGGCACTTTTTTAGACTACAAAAGTTTGTAGTGTCTGCTTTTGTCATCAGAAAAGTTTGTAGTGTCCGCTTTTTAGACTACAAAAGTTTGTAGTGTCCGCTTTGTTATTGGAAAAGTTTGTAGTGTCTGCTTTTTCATTTGAAAAAGTGTGTAGTGTGCGCTTTTTTAGACTACAAAAGTGTGTAGTGTGCGCTTTTTCATTAGAAAAGTTTGTAGTTGACATGTAGGTTATGGTGTCCTTGGCCCTGTCTAGGTTATGGGGATGAGGTTGAAGGATTGACATGATCTTATATATTGCCAGTGCTGCAGCATTAGTTTTTGACATCATGCACAAATTGTCTTTCACATTAGGAAAGGCTATTCTAAGCTTTTCATATTGACACCTACTGTCCTATCTCAAAACATAATAAGTTCATGTGGGGATATGGCTGAAGGATTGCCATGACTTTACATATTGCTATTGCCACATCATCAGTTTTTCAGCATGCCCAAGTTGGCTTTCAAGCCAGAGGAGGCCATTCATGTTGATATCTACTGTTCTGTCTCAATACATGGATACATGGTCAACTTACAACATGACTTGACTTGAGGACACCTCCCAGGATGAATCAGCTCATCATCCTATAGCCCTCAAAGAGCTGATATCAAAGTTTACTATGTTTGGGACAGGCCAGTAGCTATCAATGTGAAAGCAGACAGTGTGAAAGCCAACTTAACGAGGTGATATTTCCCTTTTGGGATGGAACCTGAAGTGGACCCTGAAGGCAGTGCCTGATGTTCTGTACACCATTTATATATATATATTCAATTTTTCTGGCTATTTTTGGATATATTACCATATTTGGAACTGGACCCTGGACCCTGACAATGTTACCCAACATGATGATCAGCAATGAGCCCTAATTTTTCCTGATTTTATTGCTATTTTACATTTGGAAATGCACCCTGGACCCTGAAAGGTCAGCTGCTGCTAAAAATGAAATATTCATTGAAAGCGCCAGGTACACATATGAAAAGTGCAATGAAATCTCCTAGGAATAAGAATGAAATATCCATTGAAAGCGCCAGGCATCCAAATGAGAAGCACAATGAGATATCCTGGGTTTAGCAATGAAATATCCAATGAAAGCACCAGGTATATCTATGAAAAGTGCAATGAAATATCCTAGGAACAAGAATGAAATATCCATTGAAAGCACCAGGCATTCAGATGAAAAGCACAATGAAATATCCTGGGGCTAACAATGAAATATCCAATGAAACTGCCACATATATATATGAAAACTCCAATGAAATGTCCTGGAGCTAAGAATGAAATATTCATTGAAAGCGCCAGGCTTTCATATGAAAAGCAAAATGAGATATCCGGAGATAATGAATGAAATATTGCAGGAAATCACAATACAATATTAATGAGATCACTTAGGCCATTTAATGAAAAAACCAACTGAAATACACAGGGAACTTAATGAATGAAAATACTAGACAAAATAATGAGTTGTCTCATTGAACCTCTAGGCATTATACACATCGCCTTCCAGGCATGTGTCTGGTTTTTATCATAAGAGTGTATACCACTAGTGCGTGAACTCTGACCTAACGGAGGACAATCCAGATCTAGGTTCACCACTGACAACTGTAGACGAAGATATCAATGTTGAAAAGCGGAAGGTTGATGATGCGCAAATACTTCACAGGTGGTACGATGAGAGGTGAAGAGTTTGGGAGGAGAGTGTGGATATTGACTTGGAATCGGAGGTGGAAGAGGAGGAAGTGCGTGATGAAGAGAGCGATAGTGACGATGAAGAGGGATATCCTGATTGGGATTCTTTCACAGATTTCCCCTCGTGGGACCAGCTAGGCGAAGGATTTGAAAGAGAGGCTGCAGGCATCAGTAAGTGTTATACACCCCACTTGAATCTTTTAAAATTGTTGACCCTTTCTTGTCACACAGCTGAAAAACTCATGGCTTATGACCATGCAATCTGTCGTGCATTTTCGTTTAAACTACAAACAAACATGACCGACAGAGGTTTCAAAAAGGTTCCCCTTGCGTTCCCATCCAATCCACCTCTTCCACCACTCAATCCCACTCACTCTTGCGTAACCTTTCTCGCGGGATTTAAGCCTGAAAAATATGACTGCTGTGTGAATTCATGCTGTTGTTACACAGGCCCACATCAAGACCTTTCGGGCTGTCCTTACTGCAAGGAACCTCACTTGAATTCTGCAGGTAAACTCCGCAAACAGTTCACATACATCCCATTGATTCCGCGACTAGTAGCTTTTGCGGGGAATAAAGACCTTGCGACAGCAGGTCAATATCGCGTGCAGCACCACCACACACCTGGAGTTACGACAGACATTTTGATGGAACCCGATATTGAGACCTGTGTCTCCAGGAAGTCGAGATCAATGGTGAGAAACTACAGCGCTGCTACTTCTCTGACTCCCGAGATCGTGCACTGGGTCTCACCATCGATGGATTCGCACCATGGAAGAGGTGGAAGAATACAGCGTGGCTGCTGATTATCTTTGATTATGACTTTGGACCAGAAATTTGGTTCCATCTCAAGTATATTTTGTCTCTGGGAGTTGTTCCGGGCCCCAAGAAGCCAGTTGATCTAGATTCCTTTCTTTGGCCGGCACTCCTGGAACTTGTCCAACTTGCGCAAGGTGTTCACGCTTTTGACATTCTCAAATCCGAGCTATTCCTTCTCTGTGCATATATCATTGCCGTTTTCAGCGATATTCCTGCTGTCTCATTGCTTATGCACATGAAGGGACACAATGGCTATTCACCCTGTCGGATGTGCAAAATCCTTGGTGTCCAAGTACCAAACTCATGGTCGACTACGAACTATGTCCCACTAGATCGCTCGAATCATCCTTTGGTCCAGGGTGATCCATTGTCAGTCAAGGCATATGATGCGGCAAATTTGCCTCTTCATTCACATGATGAACTCCTTGCTCAGGCAAAGGAGGTTCAAGCAGCCATGACAATGTGGAGGCAGATCAACTGTCCCGCAAATATGGTATAAAGGCTATTCCCACTCTCTCATATCTTCATTCCCTCCTGTTTCCAACATCGTTTCCCTATGACTTCATGCATCTCATTTGGGAAAATGTTGTCAAAAATCTCATTTTGCTGTGGATGGGCGAATTCAAGGGGCTCGATGAGGGCTCAGAGGAGTATCAGCTATCCGAGGCTATCTGGGAAGCAATAGGTGATTTAACAGCAAAGTCTGGCTCTACCATCCCGTCCGCTTATGGGAGCCATGTGCCGAATATTGCAACTGACCATAGTAATTGTAACACAGAGATGTGGTCATTTTGGACCCTCTATGTCAGGCACATTCTTCTACGCTGCCGCTTTCGAAACATCAAATACTTCAAGCACTTCGTTAAACTTGTACAGCTTCTCAACATATGCCTCCAGTTTGAGATATCAGATGACGAGATTGAAGAGATCCATAGAGGATTCATTGAATGGGTTGAAGAATATGAGAAGTACAAATTTTCTAATTGTTCAATCCAAGTGAAGTTTAGGTGCTAACTTTATTATGGTTTTTAGAATTTATTATCAATATGCACCAGAATGCCTCTCTGCATGCCCTGTTACAATACATGCGCTACTTCACATTGTGGAAAGCATCGTAGCTATGGGACCAGTGTGGTGTTACTGGGCATTTCCAATGGAACACTACTGTGGGAAGCTTCAGCCTGCGCTCCATAGCCGCCGCTTCCCATATGCTGCCTTAGATCGCTACATTGTAGAAGATGCTCAACTAATGCAAATTAAAGCAGTCTTCAATGTTAGAGAGGAGCTTTCGCTTCGATTGCCTCACAGTTCTGTTCCTGGAATGTATGCCCACCCATCATGTACGCACCATTCTCTGATAACACCCAATGATCTCACCAGATTTTTATTCACCTATTTATAGATCCTGCATGTATTCTGCTCCCTCCTTTGAAGGTTGTGGCACCTCAGAAAGGTGTTCTCAATAGCATCTGTGCAGCTCTCGCAACTCGTTACACATGCACTGTGGCGAAAGCTAGAAAACATCTCACAAATGCTACAATTGTCGAGTGGGGTAAGGTTTGATGGGTCGACTCTGAAGAGGGCGATACTGTCTGCTCGTCCACACTCGGCAAGGTTCCTGAGGACTCGTGGGATGCCACATTTGTACAGGTATGTGCCAACATCCAAGCACTGTTATGTTGTTGTCCTAACAAGCACTCCACTTTCAGTATGAATCCTATATTTATATTCATGCGAGATCAAGGCGAAACACAGTCCTCTGACTTGACACATTTTACGGACAGCTTGAACACATCTTTTTGATTAAGTATGACCCTCGTTCACTAGAGGAGCTGAACAAGGATGTTGTTATTCTCGCTGCTGTCCGCACATGCAAACTGGATGCTGAAGACGACACTCTCAAGGAGGCTAAACTGGACTTTCACTTTTACTCTAGTCTTGGACCATTGAACGTTATTGATATTACCTGTTTACAGAGTGTTGTCGGGTGGGTGAAAGATGGTAATCGTGGATGGGCAATTATTGATAGAAGTGGCTCTCTGGCTCGAGCTATGCCTGGGGATGATGATTAATTAATATGCATCTGTATTACACTTAGTAATTTCTAGGTTCTGCCCAATTGTCGAGGTCTTTATCATGCCCCACTGATTCCTGCCAGATTCCGGTCATTCCTGCGGAATCCAGAGGAATCAAATTTGGCAGAGACACCAGCCAAAATGACATTCTGGGGGACAAATATTCCTTGGGAATGATGTCATTCCTGATTAGTAGCTGGAATGGTCCCCGGAATGGACAAAAAGGAATGCAACCGGAATGCAATGTCCAGAATACACATTACTAATCAATAATATTAATAAACATTAATATACCCATGCCCAAATCGAGTCTCAGCAAACACCGAGGCTCAATTTCGCATCATCAAACAATCCACAATGTTTGTCTTCTAACCACCACCATCGTTGTTGACAACAACTGGGCACACCACGTCACCACCCTCATCAATGGCCACCACCAGCCACAACTGTCGCCGTCGCCATCACCGCCCACCGAGGACGACGATGGATGATGGTGGATGATGATGGATGACAAGGACGATGACACATCAGCGGACAACGAGGATGGCCACATGTCAATGGACGACAACCACATCAACGGATGACGAGGACAACGACTACATGCCAATGGATGACAACCACGTCAACGGACGACAACCACATCAACGGAGGATGGCCATGTCAACAGACAGCCATGACCACGGACAAGGACATGCCCCCGACAATGGGAAACCAAGGTGCCACGTCGCTGTCAGCGACATGGCAACAAGGTGAGTGCCCCATCCCAACACGTCTCGTTAACGACCACCATGACAGGACGGGTGCTCATGACGATGAGCGCCCGTTGACAAACACCATACCATGTTACGACAAGACGACAACGAGTGCCCACGACGTAGAGCACCCACCCCATTGGCGAAGATGACGACAAGCGCATACGACGACACCACAACAACATGACACGACAGCGACGCAACACCACAATGGCAACACAACACAACAATGATGCACACCCACATCGTCAAGCGCCCACATCATCGACAACGCAACACATTGACGACAACGCAACACGACAACAACACGCACCCACGTCATTGAGCCTTCCTTCCCTCCCTTTTCCCCCCTTCCCTGTCCCCCCCCTTCCTTGAGCCTATCTTTGTCCTCTCCCCTCCCCTTTCTCTCCCCCTTCCTTGTCCATCTCCCCTCCCCTTTCCCTCCCCTTTCCTTTTCCCTCCCCCTTCCTTTTCCCTCCCCCCTTTGTCCCTCCCCCTTCCCTGTCCCTCCCCATTCCTTGTCAATCCCCTATTCCTTGTCCCCCCCCTTTCCTTTTCCCTTCCCCCCTCCCACCCCATTTCCTGCTCCCCCCCCCCCCCCC